TGCCGGGGCCGGTGCGGCCGGCGCGGCCCTTGCGCTGCTCGGCGCTGGCCCGGCTGATCCACGACTCCTGCAGCCGCCTCACCTTGGCCTGAGCGTCGTACCTGAGCTCCTTCACCTTACCTGGGCACGGGGGAGGGGCTCAGGTGAGGCTCAGGTGGGCAGGGAGGGGCTCAGGTGGGCAGGGAGGGGTTCAGGTCCCGGGCGCTGGCCCGGCTGATCCACGACTCCTGCAGCCGCCTCACCTTGGCCTGAGCGTCGTACCTGAGCTCCTTCACCTTACCTGGGCACGGGGGAGGGGCTCAGGTGAGGTTCAGGTGGGCAGGGAGGGGCTCAGGTGAGGCTCAGGTGGGCAGGGAGGGGCTCAGGTCCCACCCCAGGGCCCTGGCGCTGGCCCAGGTGAGCCACAGCTCCTACAGCCCCCTCACCTGGCCCTGAGCTCCCTCCCCTCACCTGGGCACAGGTGAGGCTCAGGTGAGGTTCAGGTGAGGGGCTCAGGTGGGCAGGGAGGGGCTCAGGTGGGCAGGGAGGGGCTCAGGTCCCACCCCATGGCCCTGGCGCTGGCCCAGGTGAGCCGCAGCTCCTGCAGCCCCCTCACCTGGCCCTGAGCTCCCTCCCCTCACCTGGGCACAGGTGAGGCTCAGGTGAGGTTCAGGTGAGGGGCTCAGGTGGGCAGGGAGGGCAGGGCCAGTCCTAGGTGTGTGAGGAGGGCGGGGCCAGCCCAGGTGAGCAGGGCGGGGCCATTACCTGAGCCCAGGTGTGCAGGGAGGGCGGGGCCAGCCCAGGTGAGCAGGGTGGGCGTGGCCATTACCTGAGTCGACGACGAAGCGCACGCCGTCGATGGTCACCGAGGTCTCGGCGATGTTGGTGGCCAGGATGCACTTCCGCACACCTGGCGGGGGCAGGTGGAACACCTGGCGGGGGACACGCACCTGACAACACCTGGGCAGGGCGGGGCTGCAGCCCAGAAACACCTGGGGGGACCCTGGGGGGCGTCACCCCCTCACCTGAACACCCACGGGACCGGTCTGACCTCACCTGGGACGTGCCAGAACACACCTGGGATCCCCGAAATATACCTGGGACCCCCAAACACACACCTGGGACCCCCCAAACACACACCTGTGCCCCCCCAGCTCACCTTGTCCTGCTGGTGGGCAGGTAAGCTGCCGTGCAGGGGCAGCACGACCCAGCGCTGGGTGGTCTGGGCGTACACCTGGGCGGGGCCCAGCACCTGCTGGATCTCGGCGGCCCCGCTGAGGAAAACCAGGACGTCCCCGCGCTCGTCCCGCGGCACCTGCGCGTCGATGGCCTCCAGCACCCGCAGGTACGGCCCCGCCTCCAGGTGGGCCTGGCGGGGCTCCGAGGGGAGGGGCTGGTACAGCACCTGGGCAAGGGGTGGGGGCACGGGGGGGCACACAGGTGAGTACAGGTGGGCACAGGTGGGCACAGGTGAGCACAAGGGAGGACAGGGGAGCGCAGGTGGGCACAGGGGGGCAGAGGGGGTTACCCAGGTGAGCACCCAGGTACGGCCCCGCGTCCAGGTGGGCCTGGCGGGGCTCCGAGGGGAGGGGCTGGTACAGCACCTGGGCACGGGGGGGGGCACA